CTTGAACCCCCAAATAGCATTTCTAAAACCCATCATAGACATATCATTACTACCAATGGTGAAAAACTGAATATCATTGGTAGTAATGACATGTCCCTTGAGCTGTCATCCACTACCTCCTTTCCTCTTACCAAAACCTTTCTTGTTCCTAACCTTACTACTAATCTAATTTCTGTTGACCAACTTGTTGATGAAGGATATACACTTGCATTTTCTCATGATGGTTGTTTGATTCAGGACCCAAACACTAGGAAGGTGAAAGGGAAGAGGAGTAGGTTGGGCCGTTTATTTGCATTGGAGTTCAAGAATTCTCATGCACCAACATCGTCAGTATATTTTAGCTCGTCCTCTTCTAGATCTTTTGTTGGGTAAATAAATAATGTTTGGGATTTATGGCATAAACATTTAGGACATACACATTTTGAAAAATTGAAATTTTTGTTTGACTTTGGTTTTATTAAAAATAAATTCCATCTTTACATACTTTTGATACTTCATGCGTTTCTTGTTGTTTGAGTATAGGAGTGGCCACGAGCCGAACTTTTCACAAGCTATTCGAGCTCAGCTCATGAAAAGCTCAATTCAGCTCAGTCTAAACCAAGCTCGAGCCCAATAAAGCTCAGGTCATGAGGCTCACGAGCCTAATCGAGCTTTTACATGCATATAAAAACTAATAAATATAAAAATATTATACATATAAAAAATAATATATATAAAACAAAAAATGTTATACACATAACATTTTTATTTTTATATATAACTAGTTTTTATAATTCTTAATTTTTATATGTCAAATAAAAAATAATTCTTATATGTATAACCTTTTATTTCTATAAAACATTTCACTCACAATCAAGCTCGAGCTTATGAGCTTTTGACTCAAGCCAAACTCGAGCTCAAGTCTCTAGCTCGAAATCAAGCTCGAGCTCAAGATTTAACCTCATACTTTATTGGCAAGCTGAACTCGAATAGTTAGATATTCAGCTTGGTTCAGCTCAAATCCACCCCTATTTGAGTAAAAGCCACACTCTACCCTTTCCTCACACATCTAAGCATGCCACCTCACCATTTGAAATTATACAAAGTGATGTTTGGACCTAATCTATTATTTCTCGGCCTAGATACAAGTACTTTCTCTTGTTCATTGATGACTACACCAGGTACACATGGATTTACTTTCTGAAACATAAATCAGAAGTATATCCTACATTTTGGCTTTTTCATGCTATGATACGAGTTCGATTTCAGTCTCATATGCATATTCTCCACTCAAATTCAGGGGGAGAATACACTGATGGAGACTTCTTATCCTACCTGAGAAGTCAGACTCAACGAAGTTGTCCAGACACCCCTCAATAGAATGGAGTGATTGAGTGTAAAAATGGTCATGTGCTTAGTGTTGTGAGAACCCTACTGCAAGAATCAAATGCCCCTTCTTCATTTTGGGTAGAGGTTGCTAGTATCGTTGTTTTCTTGATTAATTGTGTTCCCTCTTCTATTCTTGCTAATAAGTCTCCTTTTCAAAAACTATTTGGTCATCCTCCAGACTTATCTAGTCTCCATGTTTTTGGGAGTCTTTGCCTTATTCATCTTCCGTCTCGGGAAGGTTCCAAGTTATCCGTACAGTTTGTTATGTGTGCCTACGTGATTTAGTCCAGATCACAAAGGATTTCTTTGTTAGATCCCTCTGCTCATTGCATTCGTGTTTCTTGAAATGTTGTCTTCCTTGAGCATATTTCCTTTTTTGTTGTTGTTGCTAGACTATCTACTCTATCCATCTCTGTTTTGCAAAATTAACTCACATGATGTTTCTCCTCTAGTTGGTGTGAAAGATTTTCTCACCTTCTCTCACAAAAGATTACATGCCCCAAATCCTACACCTACAACCCCACGTCCCCACTTCCTCCAGGCCCAAATCATTCCTCCATTGATGCTCCTATAAGTAATGCTCCTTCAGATTCCGTTACTATTCCTACCACATCTCTTTGTCGTTCCTCTCGTATTTCTAGACCTCTTGATCGCTATATCACAGATATTCCCCACTCATATCAATAGGCCATTATCAGTCCTCATTGGAGCATAGTTTTCAAGGCGCCAAGGCGAGGCTAGGCAACTGGGGGGCGCCTAGTCGCCTAGGCGATGGATTTTTTATGCTAAAAACATAGATCCTAGGGTAGTTCCCTAGGTAGCATAACCATATTTCTTTAATAATTATTCATGATTTTCATAAGAAAAGTATAAATTTCATAATAAAGTATAGAAAATTAACATATTCATGAGAAGAAAAGGAAGAAGGAAAATAAAACTCAATAAATATAGGGGCTGAACCCTTATTTTTGTTATAGGAAAAGAAGAAAATAAAAAGTATTGGTAGCAGTAGTAGTATTAGTAGTAGTAGTAGTAGTAGTAGAAGAAGAAGAAGAAGAAAAAGAAGAATATGAAAGAGGAAAATGTGCTAATTAGATAAAATTTTTAGTTCTTCCTTACTTATTGGTGCAGTTTTTTAAGTCTTTGAGGGTTCAATACAGCATTTAGCAATGTTTGTGTTGATTAAACCCTAATAAATAAGAAAATAATAAAAAGGAATTAGTATATAAACACACAAAATGATTATTTTAGTTTAATAATGTCTGCTTTATAATTATAATCTCAAAAAAGAATGAATAAAAAAGTTTTTTTATAGTAGAAAGTAGAAAACTGTTAGGCGATTAGGCGAGTTGAGCCTCAAAGGGCGCCTTGTCACCTAGGCGTCGCTAACAACTATGCATTGGAGAAAAGCCATGGATGCAGAAATTATGCCTTACATGAGAATGATACTTGGGATTTGATGGCTCCTCCCTCAGATGCTTTAGTCATTGGAAGTCATTGGGTTTACACCATTAAGTTGAAGTTTGATGGTTCATTGGATCAGTACAAAGATCGTCTTGTTGCTCAAGGTTACACCCAGGAATATGGCATTGACCATGAGGAGACATTTTCTCCAGTTGCCAAGATTATTGTTGTCCATATCCTCCTAGATCTCTCTGTTGTGCATTCATGGCCATTTATCAGTTAGGCGTGAAGAATGCCTTTCTTCATGGTGACTAAAGGAGACAACATACATGAAGCCTCCTCTTGGATACAGTGGTGATCCTTCCCTTGTTTGTCAGCTAAAGAAATCTTTACATGGCCTCAAACAAGCTCATCGGGCCTAGTTTGGGAAGTTTCAAGATGTTGTTGCTGGATATCATCAAAGTGCCTTTAATCACTCACTCTTTGTTCGTCAAAGATCTCAAGGCATTACAATCCTTCTATTGTATGTAGATGATATGTTGACCGTTGTTGATTGGGGATGACGAGGATGGAATTCATGAACCAAGTCTCTTCTCCACAGTTCTTTTCATATGAAAGACTTGGGTTCTCTTACTTATATCTTGGGGCTGGAAATACAACATGGTGATCAAAGTTACTTTGTTTGCCAGCACAAATATGTATTTGATCTTGTTAAGCTCGTTGGTCTTATAGAACCAAACAGGTTGATACACCTCTAGAGCTCAAAGTTAAGTTGTCTAAATGCGATGGGACCTTGCTTTCTGATGCTACTCTATATCAACAACTTGTTGGGTCCCTCATCTATCTCACCATGACTCGTCTAGACATCTCTCATGTGGTTCAGGTAGTTAGTCAATTTGTTTCAGCCCCTCACCAACCCCACATGATTGTTGTCCACTGGATTATTCGTTATGCCCATGGCACTTTATCTCAAGGACTATTCTTTACCTCCTTTCCTATTTAGTTGAGGGCTTATGCTGGTGCAGATTAGGCAGGCTAACCCAACACCAAAAGGTCTACTACAGGGTGGTATGTCTTTATGGGTGACTCCCTCATCTCCTAGAAATGCAAGAAACAACAAACAATTTCTAAGTCATCTACAGAAGCCATATATAGAGCTAAGTCATCTATGTGCAGTGAGATCGTTTGGCTTCAGTCTCTCCTTGCTGATCTTGGTGTTCACCTCCCTACACCTATTCCTCTTTGTGTTGATAACACTAGTGTCATCAAGATTGAATCTAATCTAGTGTTCCATGAGAGAACAAAGCACATTGAGGTGGACTGTCACTTTATTAGGGATCTATGTCTTGCAGGCTCCATCTCTCTTCTACATATAGCTTCTGATTTGTAGATTGTGAATATACTTACAAAGCCTATGACGAGATCTGGACATCTATAACTTATGGGCAAACTGATTCTTATGTCTCAGCAACAGTTTGAGGGGGAGAAGGAAGACATTTGATGTACTGTACTTTTATGGTCCTTGTTGTACTATAGTCTTAATATTTTCTTCCTCTTATCTTTCAGCCCTCTTAGGGCTCTTTTGTAATTCTTTATATTTATCCTTTAGCCCTTCAAGGGCTTTTGACTCATTGGAGGTGGGGGTCGATTATCACATTGGACACCCCTGAAACCTTTGGTGTTCTCTCACGAACCGGAAGATTGAAAACAACATTTTCAAGTTGAAACTTGTTAGAATTCCAGTGATCCTATTGTATTAATATAGGTGAATGGATAAAGTTAAGATACTTTTTGGCATTTACCCAAATTTCACAGGTACTTGTAGAAAACATTACTTCGAATCAAAAAGCAAAATAAAGGTTGTTAACAGCATTCTGGTTCAGAAATGATAACCACAATCTTTATTTCCCTTTTTGTCCTCACCCATATCTGTATCTTGGCATCAATTGCACAATCTTTGAACGGTCCATTGCTTTTGTCATTAATGCATTCTGGAGTATTAAATTGCAAAGATGATTAGCTGTAGCTATTAGTTTGGAAAATTATCATCATCCACTAAAATGATCATGCTTCAATAATTAATTATATCAAAACAATGTTTCAAGATTTATGTTCTGACAGTCTTAACTTTGTTAATCATTGCTAAATAGTTTTCCAACAAAATGTGATCCAATAGTTGTAAAATCAAGAAAAAAAAACAAAAACAACATGGCTGCAGAAATACATACAGGATAACACAAATTTCATTCATGCCCAGCATCCCAGTTGGATCAGCTGTCCCCATCAAATAGTAACACTCACTCATAGGAATCTTTCCTGCCTTTAGGCCCTTCCTTTCTTCCCTCATTAGCACTGACAAGCGAGTTTGTAAATATGGTTCCTCAAGGGGAATTCCACATAAAATCATTCTTGATACAAGAAAATCATCCATGTCACCATACTTGAGAGCAACTGCAGGTGAAGCAAAGAAATTAGGGGAAAACCTATAAACAAGAATTAACTCAATTTAGGAAGAAAAGGAATAAATACAAATGGAAAATTGCATAAAGAAGAGGCAAAGGTAAGAGACTAGTCACAATTTTTTTATAGCAAAAAACATTAAAATAAAAGAAAGAGTACAAAAATCATTAAAAGTAAAAGAAGAGGCAGATCTAAGAGGCTAATCCACAAAACTCATTTTTCCAGTTAACCACAAATCTAGATCACTACCAACTGCTCCTACTTAAGCTTCTCATTCCTATAAGCAGCCTAAAAATAATTAAGAGGTCCACACCAATACACCATCCAAAAAAGTCAACCAAGAGGTCCAAGACTAACAAATTAGTCAACCTCACCTCTTTGGCCTTACCCCTCCCATTCACAACCCAGTTACTTAAACCCTTTGCTTCCCTATTACTCATGGATTCATACTCTTCCTTCACTCTTTACCCCAATGCTCTATATCTGTTCCCTGCACCTTTTTCCATGTATCCCCCCAACATAAGGCAATGCCATGTGAGCCAAGTTGTTGTTGTTATTGGTTATATTAATTTCAGGGTAGAATGGAACTCCCAGTGGTGATCAGGTTATATTCAATAGAACGAGCATTCTATACAGATGGATTAGGAAGGTCATGTAATGTACTTGTAGTTCTTCCAGGAGAAGAGCAATCAGCCTGATCTGTATTGAGGTCCTACTGTTCTCAACAGGTAAGATTGTTGGGGACTTGTCAAAGGTGTTGAGTGGCTGGCTTGATGTCTCAATCTTCTCCTTCAAAGGAGTAAGCTTTTCTGCTGTAATTGAGTATTCATGTAATTGACTCCATTAGTCAGGACAAAACTTAGATGATTTTTATTTATTTATTTATTTGATAAGTAGGTTTAAATTCATCGATCTATTACCAATTAAAGAAAATAAAAAAAAGGGATCTACACCATCATACTTTGTTGCACTCTCACAAATTGAAAGAATGTTACAAATGTACTTGGATAATGAGAAGATTGCCTTCAGACACCATAGGATATGCAACTAACCCACCCCCCATCCAACTAGGCTCACAAAGCAGTTTACCTCTTCCAATCTCTAAATACAAGACTAACCCCTTTGAGGTGAAAGGAGAACAAGACAACTACATATTATTTTTCCTCTCAGGCCTAAGGGAAGATAGTGGTTCTTATATAGGCAAGGTATAAAAATTAAATCTCTTGGTGTTTACCCAAGGCAACCATAGCGATAATATTGACCTTTGCACTATAACCTCAGGATGGGTCCTTGGAGGTCAGGGTATATGCTTAGGTAAGATCCATGCCTTGGTATTCCAGTTACGTATCTCATTCTCCTGAAATTCTATTTAAGAGCAATGTTTAGGAATAGTTTTAGACCATCAACCTTCCAGGGTTCTAGTTCAGTTAAACCGAAAACCATAACTTGCTATTAATTTAACAGTTTACTTGGCCAAAGAATAGTCAAATACTCGCTTTACTTTAGGCCATTGTTTTCTATTGTCCAAATGCTTTGAGTTCGATACCATTAGAAAGATCATTCAGTTATCCATCTAATGAGCCCACGACCATGCAACTTGTATATGATTTGAGCGGGTTAATGTAAAAGTATGGACAGGGCAGGTGTATTTTCATATGATCCTTTGGGAAACTTTGGTTATTTTTGGACCTTTCACAGTGAGAACAGTGGTTGAAATTGATTTCCTAGGTCTAAGTTTTTTTTCTGTGGATTGGTCTTTCTTAGATCTTAGGTTAGGTTTTGATTTCTTAGGATGGACTGTAAACAACTATTTTTATTATCAAATGAAGTTTTTCTTTTGGGTTTTAGTTATTTTGAAACTCCTAGAATGACCTTTTTTTATAGTGAAGAAAAATTTCCATGAGAGGAAACAAAGAAAGATTATTAGATAATTTCATACTAAATTCCAGTGATAAGATTTCACTACAAACAAAACAAAGAAAAGAAACCAAAAGAAGTGATGCAGGAGCTGAAGAATCAAAATTGGAATTTTATGATATTTTATGTATTTCTGTATTTTTGGACAATAGGGGTATTTTTGTCATTTTAAAATTTCTGTGGGGTCCAATGATAGGGTTTAATTTGTCTAGTTATAGTTTGCTTATGTTTAAAATTTCAGAGTCAATGCATAAGTAGGATTAGAGTTATTGAGTCTTCTTTGAATTGAAATAGGATATGACAGCTTAGTTTGAGTCCTAGGATTATCAAGTCTAACAGTTTGACTCCGAAGACTATTACGAGTCTAACAGTTTGACTCCTAGGGTTATTATAAGTTTAGAGTCTATAAATATGTATGGGCGTTTTACACAAAGGCAACGAATTATATTGAGTTTTCTTCAGCTTATGCTAGCTATGGTGAGTGATTCCCATGCCCTAGAGTGATTCCAGGCACCCTATGAGTGATTCCAGGTATTTTTTTTCTCTTCTTCTCTCCCTATTTTCTCTCTTATTTCTTCAAGAAACCATTACAGCCATCAACAGCAATAAAATTCTGATCCAAGAAGACCATTCACATTCTCTAAGGACTAGAACTGAGCTGGTCCTACATCAGTTTGTATCAGAGCTAATGGTTTATTCACTATGTTCTCACAAAGTGGCCGATTCTATAGGCGTAGGGTATCTTCTAGACAACCTTGCAGGTCTAGAATCAATGATGATTGGGTTTCTGAACCATATGGTCTTTGGTTGACTTGTTCAAAAAAATGGTGGCAGAAAACTGATCTAATAATGTTGGCTACGGGAGCAAGGTTTTCAAACATGTTAGAAGAGAAAGGGAAATACCAGATTTCAAAGGAGATGATGATCCACAAGCATTCTTTGATTGGGTTGCTGAACTAGAAGAATATTTTGATTGGCATGATATGCTTGACAAACAAAGGATTAGATTTGCGCGCATGAAGCTGGCGGGTCATGCTAAAGAATGGTGGAGAACTCTTGAGCAACGACTAGAAAATAGAGGCGATGATCCGATTAGTACATGGGCAGATATGAAGAGGTGTTTGTAAGAAAAGTACATCCCACTAGACTTCCATGATGATCTATACATGGAGTTGACTAATTTCGAGCAAAAGAAGAAGCAGCAGGTTACAACAAAGAACTTGAAGTCAATGGGAAGAAGGTACAAAGTTGAAAAGAAAGTAGATGATTCCAACACCCATGATCAGCCTGAGGTTAATGATCAAGAAGAAATAGAAGAGGAGCAAATTAAAGAAATTCAGGTGCAAGATACAAATGTGTTGACTGTAGTAGATCCTAATAAAAAAGTAAGTAACTTTACCTTTCAAGTTCAACTAGAACTAATTCAAGAATTACAACCTAACATAGCACAAGTTCCACCAACATCAACAATGGAAGGAGTCCTAGAGTTTGTTGAAGAACCAAGGATAGCAGAACACATAAAGATGGTGATTCCTAAGCTAGAGGTCAAAGGAAAGGTTCCAAATGTTGCAATTAAGAGTTTGGATAAGCGAGGTGAAGATTCATCACAATGGTTAGTTGATGAATTAAGTGTTCAAAAAACTAATGTTATCGATGATTTAACAAAGATGGTTAGGGAAGGTAGTGTTTCAGAAATACATTTCTTTCAAGATCTTTTTCTAGTTCTGTGTGTGGCCTCTACTCTACGGTCCAAGCACGTAGCTATGGGAAGTCCTACTCCCTTTGTAATTGGGGCATATCAACTTTTCATCCTCAAGTTCTTCAAAACTCGAGGACGAGTTTTTTTCAACCAGGGAAGAATGATGCAGGAGGTGAAGAGTCAAAATTGGAATTTTATGATATTTTATGTATTTCTGTATTTTTGGACAGTAGGGGTATTTTTGTCATTTTAAAATTCCTGTGGGGTCCAATGATAGGGTTTAATTTGTCTAGTTATAGTTTGCTTATGTTTAAAATTTCAGAGTCAATGCATAAGTAGGATTAGAGTTATTGAGTCTTCTTTGAATTGAAATAGGATATGACAACTTAGTTGGAGTCCTACTAGGATTATCAAGTCTAACAGTTTGACTCCTAAGACTATTATGAGTCTAACAGTTTGACTCCTAAGACTATTATGAGTCTAACAGTTTGACTCCTAGGGTTATTATGAGTTTAGAGTCTATAAATATGTATGGGCGTTTTACACAAAGCCAATGAATTATATTGAGTTTTCTTCAGCTTATGCTAGCTATGGTGAGTGATTCCCATGCCCTAGAGTGATTCTAGGCACCCTGTGAGTGATTCCAGGTATTTTCTCTCTTCTTCTCTCCCTATTTTCTCTCTTATTCCTTCAAGAAACCATTACAGCCATCAATGGCCATAAAATTCTGATCCAAGAAGACCATTCACATTCTCTAAGGACTAGAACTGAGCTGGTCCTACATCAAGGAGCCATTACATTCTGATACTACTCCAAAATAAAATAAAACCCAAAATCAAACACAAAACAAGACTCCCACCACAGCCTCTAATCCCAAAGAGAACAATAGCCTTTCTTTTTTTATGAATGACAACAATAGCCTTCCTTCAAATCAGCTCTATTGACACTAGGGCATGGGTGCAACTTGGGCAGGCCCGACCTAACCCAACCCAAGGTATTGAAATAGGCTGGGCCTATGTTTTCAGGCTCCGGGCTAGGACTGGGCCAGAAAACTCAGGCCTGACCTAAGCTTGGGTTGGTGGGTTGAGGCCTTGAGTAGCCCAAGCTCAAGCCTGCCTAGCCCAAGTCCGCCGGATATTGTATGATATACATACAAATGTGAATGTGTATATTATGTATTCATGACATATATATCACATATTTATACCCATGTGCACCTTAGAGTATATATTTAGTTATTTACAATACGTAGATGATTAACCTATACTCGGACTTTTACATAAAACATGTATAAATACACACATAATGCATTTTCTTTATATAAAACATCTTTTATTAATTGTGTATGCATGTACAAATTGTAAAGGAGGAGGGTGCTTCAGGTTGGCAACCAGCACTAAAACTTCTGCCAAACTCTCATGATAAGCCGACCCCATATAGTTGAGATAAGGCATGTACAAATGTATAAAATGTATATGTGCATTTAATAATGGAACTTATACATATTTTTAACCCATTCTACTCATAAAAGGCTTGACCTCGGGTTGGGCCAGGCCTGAGCCCGAGGTTTGAAGCTTAGGGTTGGACCTGGGTTGACCTTCAACCCATCCCATGAGTTGCACCCCCTAACTAATAATACCTTCAAATACTTGGTGAAAATGAGACCATTCCATGATCTGGAAACACATGTCCACAATCAGCTTTCTTCTTGAAATATATTTGTCTTGAAAAAAACTACGGTTTCTATCCAAATGCAGCAGTAAACAACAAAAGGCACTACACTCCACACAATCTCCACCTTCTTACTACCTCCAAATAAATTCCACGTAGGAACAATGTATGAATCAGATGTTTCACATTTTCCTCTTGACTCATGCATAATCTATAAATGCTTGGAAGTTGAACTTGAAATCCTATAGCTTTCAAATGGTCCAAGGCAAGAATGCAATCTGATGCCAAAAACCAAGCAAAAGCTTCCACTCTAGGTGGAACAAGATTACCCCAAAGGTTCAACACATAGGATCCAACATCTGATTTCTAGATAAAACACCATAGAGAGGTTCCACCAGAACTTTCTATTGATACATTCTTTTCACACCTAATATCTGATTGATTAGGCTCAATTTTAGTTTATTCCAGCCATGTCAGCAGCATGACACACTCTGCTTCTCCGTCCAAGGGCCTTCTAAAGTTCTAATCCTGGGTTGAGTTGGACAACACCCTAAAGGAAGTTTATCCTTCAGTTCCCATCTAAACAGAAATCAAGTTTCTGAAAGTGATCCAAGATGATAATGAAAGGGCACCAAAATTCATAAGTTTTAACATAATCAAAAAAAGATGATGATGAAAAGGAATACTTTTTTGTGTATACAATAAAACCGATCTATTGAGAATATGACAATGAATAATACCTTTTAATGCTGCTCGTTTATTGGAGTGAATACTTTGAGCTTCATCCAATGCATTCATCAAAAGATTCATAAAGTAATCCGTTGGAACCCCTCCATAGTTAAGAAGTGCAATTAAATATTTTGATAGATATGACTTCCTTGGTTGATTACTGGAAGAGAGAGATTAGAAAAAATGGAATGGGCTCTATACTGTTCCAATGTAGGATTTAAACACCAAGAAAAAAGAATACAGTAGATAATTTGCTAAATCATACCAAAATTATGTCAAGGTAAAGAATAAAAGACTTTTTTTTTTAAATTTCACACATCATTCCATCTTACCTGAGCTAGACAACTCACTTCTTCCAAGTTTAATAAACTTCAATTTGACTTAATGTTGTATACAATAAAGTGAAATGCTAGAGAAGAGCTTGGCTGCCTAGCAACCCAACATAGGGCCTATATGAAAACACAAATATTTTTGTGAACCCTTACTGGGGTTGCAAAAGCAGCTGAGTTGCCTACTAGCACAGCACATAAAAAACGATTTCTAGTTACTGAAAATTAAATATGTATTTATACAATTAATGAAAAATCCATAGTTTCTTTAATTATTGAACTTTACCTTGTTGCAACTATCTCCAATGAATTGGCAGTTCGAACATATGAAAGCTTTGGGTCTGCCTCAACTTTTATCATTGAACGTCTTATCTGAATTGTTTTAGGAGGAAGCTACAAAATTTGGAAGTACAAGATATCAACACCAAAAAGAATATGTTGGTAGGAAGAGAAAAATAAAACATAAATTGAATATTAGGCTTCAAAAATTTAGGAGTCCATGCAAGACTAGCAAAAAGGAAGAACAAAGTGGTACTTACCAACTAGTATATGCTTCCTTTGCAAAGCAATCTGTGAGAATATTTCCTATCTACTAAGACTTAAGTACTAATCTCCTATTCTTTTCTCTATTTGTCTGCAAGCAAACTCATCCAACTCTTTAAGACTTCTGTTTTCCCATCCCTTAAGAAGAGAATAGAAAGGCTACAGTCTTTGGATGGGGATATAGAAATGTAAAAAAATCTTCAAAGAAAAAGAGCAAATTAAGGCAGTAATTGGGAACGCGTTACTATAGCTGGCTTATTGCAGTAAAATCACTGGGAAATTTTGCCCCTCTCCACTGATGATATTGTTAGAGGATGACAAGGTATTGTAGATTCATCCTTAGCAAGAAACATCACTTATATTGAATTCTCTTCCACCCCCTAATTTTATTAACTTTGATGGATGCAGTATGACTAGTCTAGGAGATTTAGGTATGTTGTCTTCCAGAGTGATTTTGGATGAATCTTGACTCTTCTCAAGATTAGTTCTTTATGGTGATTAAACCAGGGTAGAGTTTGTAGCTTTACTAATAAACTCAGATTGGGTCATTCTCTCAACTACAGGAACTTAATGGTAGAAGGAGACTAAAAGCTGGGTATGAAATTGTTCAAAAGATCTGACCTATGATCCTTTTGAAGAGAGCCTTCTGGTCTTGTTTAGATTTGATAATGAGGAACTGATGCATGTTTTGTTCTTTATGTATTTTTCTTGTTTTCTTTGATTGGTGATCTCGCATCACCTTATCTGATTGTAATCTCTTCTTTTATTAATGAAGTTTCTATTTTATTTATCTTCAAAAATATGGTTCAAAAATGATAATCTTGGGCCTTTCATAGTATAGACACTTCTTGAGACAAGTATGAACATTAGCATTGTAGATAGGGGCAAGTACAAGGTTTAATTGGATTCAGAGATCTGCCAATTGTTTATCCAATGAAATGGGTAAACAAGGAGTTCAAAGAAGAAAGTTGTAATAGAAATCATGTAAGATAAGTGAGCCAAGGGAGCTTAAGTGGCTGGAACCAGCCCAAGATTATCATAAGGGGCATTCAGCACTATTTGTACTTCTGAACAATTCTTCATCCAAAATAAAGATTTTTTTATCAAAAACTTGATTTGGTGCTGATCCAAACAAGCGAAGAGCCAAAGACAAGGACATAAAATCTCTTAATATTTTAAATGGAAAGTTTATACACCATAAGAATTTCATACATCAAAAGTTCCGATGACATATAAACCACCTAAGTAGGTTACTTCTTACCCAAAAAAAAAGGTTAAATATGACACAAAGCTAATAGCATACAGATAATGTTTTAAATATGTAATTTTTACAAGCAAGCTAAGGAAATATGTCATTTCGTTGTGACCTCACTCTTTAAAGACATCCAGTCCTAGTTCAATTATACTTTAATTAATTTAATGCTTACCTTTTTGTTGACAAGAAAAGTTCCCTTGACAGCACAACCATTGTTGAACAAACGGAACTGAATTAATAGTGGCTAGAACGAAACAAGATCGTCCTATTAGCATTAAATAATTAACTGTGAAACACAAAAAGAAACACAGAGAAAGAGTACCACAGTTGGCATACTGGTTCCTGAATATACCATCTCAACTCTGACTTCTCCTCAATTCCGTCATGACCTGAAATCCTCTACAAAACAGAAAAGTATTCAGATAGAAGGATGAAATATATGCCAGATGGTGAAGTGTTCCACTGTTAAATACCTTTACTCCAACAAGCATGACAATTGTATCACTTTATATGGTGTAAACAGCTTTAGATGTAGTGAAGACATTTTCAGGAAAGAGCTGTGCCCATGAAAACATACAATAGGGTATAAAAGCCAACCAGACCACCCATCAACACCTAGCACTCACCATCCATCAATCACTAAAAAGCCAACCAGACCACCCATCAACATAAAACTAGACCAAGAAACTTTCAACTTCTTTAAAGACCTTTTTGGTTTCAATGGCTTCTCGTTTAGCCTGGCCTCTATTGCATATGATAGTGGGTTGCTCAGGTACCATTTGGTGAAACAATAGCAAACATGCCTTCACTAGGTTATTTGGTTTTTCATTTGACTAATAGCAGCATGTTTGTGTTTTATTGGATGGTCACAACAAATTGTTGTGAACTCATGAAGACCAAATCATCCAAGCATCCAATCACTATGTGATTTGGTTTATCCTTTGACTTATAGCATGTATGGGTTTTTTAGAGGCCACAAGAAAGTATTATGATTATGTGAACTCATCGCTCTACATGTTTGGCTACCTTCACATTTCTTGATATTCCTAATAAGGTAATGGATCATAAAGTTAGTCTCCATTTTATGATATGATAGCAGGTAGTTCATGTACCATTTAGGGTAGCAACAATAAGCATGCACTCACTTGGTAATTCTGTCTTTCATTTAATTGATAGAATGTCTATTAAGGGTGAGCAAAAAAACTGAAAAACTGAACTGACCGAAACCGAACTGAAAAATCGGTTAACCGAACCGGTCAGTTCGGTTTCGGTTCGACATTATAAAAAAACCGACAATTTCGGTTCGGTTTTGATTAACCATTTAAAAAAACCGGTGGTTAACCGAACCAATCGATATATACAATAATATATATTTATTGTAAAGAGACTGGGCCGAATGGGTCCTAGTATCTTCTCTTGTAATATCTTTTCTTTTCTTGTTGGCTAATGGGCCTCTATTAATGGGCATGTTATTTCTTTTTGTTTAATCTCTTTATGTTACTGCCTAGCTGGCCCCCACTTAAGGGCATACTTGTCATTACTCTAACATTAATTCTTAATAAAAAGGATTAGAGGAGAAAGGGAAGATAATTTCGAATCTTCTTCTTCTTCCTTCTCTTTTCGCCATCTTCTTCTCTTGTATTGCTGCTCTTACTTCTCTTCTTCCTTTTTTTCCCTCTAATCTTCAAA